ATGTCTCCCCTCTCCAAGTAATCTTTCACACAACTGCCAAAGTGAAGATATTTTCCTAAAGGACAGGTGTGACCATGCTACCCTCTTTCATGAAGTCTCAGTGACTCTTTTTTGCCTCCAGCATAAAATTAAAATGCTACTGTTTGATATTCAAAGCACTTCACAATCTGGTTCTAGCCTGTCTTTCCAGGCTGATTACATATGTAAAGTGTGGATGTGTGTGTGCTGCCCATGTATGTATACATGGGTTTGTCTAAATGTGGTTCACAGAGAGGAGTGAAAAAATATATTTGGAATCTCATCTACCTCTCTCCAAGGAGGGGTTTGATTTCTTCCTGGGAGGGAGCAGAAGAGGGGGGCTATAGAGCTGTCTGTTCATCTCTTTGCAGAGAGAGGTTTACCAGACTAGAATTATATCTATTTCACCCCACCCCCACCAGATATTGTTCATCTAGAGGAAATGATTTTGTCCTCAGGTTCAAGCTACTTTCCTGCTCAGGATCCCTTAAAGGGGAAGGAGTACCACAAAGTTATATCTTAAGATTTTATCCTTTCCTGCTTAATGCTAATTACAAAAACAAACCAAAATATCACAAATAGTGACTAGTGGATAAACCCATTTATGTAAACAGATAGCAAACAAAAATCAGAGAAATTACTCAGATTGGAATATACCAGACAGTACATGGAGTGAATGAGCTCTCTCTTGCTGTGAGATGAGAGAGAGAGAAAGTCCCTGATCTCCCCAAGGGAGGCAAGCTGGGAATTGGGGGTATGTTGTGATATTGGCCCCTCTCTACTTTTGCCACTTCTCAAAGTCCTGTCTCTCTCGCTCTTCCCTTCCCCCCTCCCTCTTTCACTCCCTTCCCCTTTCTTCCCCTCTTTCTCTTCTCCCTGCTCCAGATTTCTCCCCAAAACAGGGCCTGGAACCACTCATGTCCTCTCTCCAAGCAGGAAGGGAGAATTATTTGTCTGACAGAAGAGATTCCAGCACTGATAGGGTCACACAGTCAGTATGTATCAGAAGCCAGATTTGAACCCAGGTCTTCCTGACTTCAAGTCTGGCTGTCCTCTAGACCCCACTGACTCTGTCATATTGGTTGCCAGACTCAAAATGTCATGCTCCTTCCTCTCCTTCTTGGTCCCCCTCGCTCCACTGATCATATCTCTCTCTCTTTTTTTTTTTAAATCTTCAGTCTGTCCCTTTCTACTGCCTCTTTCTCTATACATGAACAGCTTGAGACTGTCCAAATCCTCAGAAAGCCTCTTTATTTTTCATTTTCTTCCTCCCCCAAAGCTGTGATCCTGTTTGTCTTCCCCCCTTCACTGCCAAACTACTACAAAGATAGTTTACACTGGCTGTGTCTACTTCCTCCCCACCCACTCTCTTCCCATATCCCTGCCCCACTCTACTGAAAGAACTCTCTGAAGTCATCAGTGGCCCCTCAATGACCAAAATCAATGGTCTTTTCTGAGTCTGTAGAAAAGTCCAGGAAAATAAAAATGGAGAAAAGGCCATTGGACTCGGTATCGGAGGGGCCACTGGAAATTGTGCTTGGAGGTCTCCAAGGAGGGAGAACTCACTACCTCCGGAGGCAGCCCATTGCACTTTAGGATGGTGCTAACTGTTAGGACTAAATCTGCCTCCCTGCACTTTGGGGATCCCTCCTAATTCTACTCTCTGAGGCCAAGCAGAACGTGGCTAATCCCTCTTTTACCCCAGAGCTGTTGGGATTCTAGAAGCATAATCTTTGAGTCTTACTCCACCCTACGCCTACATCGCATTAGTAGCCAAGTATTTTTTTTTAAATCTACTTTGGCAATACCTGGCATCTATTTCTCCTTCTTTTCTCTTCTACTGACACCTGGACTATTGTTTATCTTCCCAACTGGTCTCTCCTCGCCTCTATTTTCTTCTCTCTCCCACTCTCTACTCTTCAGATCTACATATCTAGCCTTTATCTCTCCTGAGGTAGCATCCTACATCTTCAACATCCATTGGATATTTCTACCTGCATATCCAGCTGCCAAAGTCATCTTCCTAATGCACAGGAGTCTTATTACTTTCCCAGTGGAAAAAAACTTCCAAAGCTCCCTAGGGCCTATGGGACAAAATGCAAACTCTCTAAACTGAAATAATAACCACTACCACCACCACCACAATAACTAGCTGTCCTAAGTGCTTTACAGATATTGTCTCATCTGACTCTCATAGCAATGAGAGGTAGGTGCTATTATCATGCACATTTTATGGATAAGGAAATTGAAGCAAACAGAGGTTAAATGACTTGCCCAAGGTCATACAGCTAATATGTGAACCCAGATCTTCCTGACCTAGAATTCTATCCGCTGTTCCACCCAGTTGACCCTAAATGAGTAGGCAGTCTCTGATATCCATTAGTACTCTCTCTCCTCTGTACTTGGCCCAGATAGGGAACCTGCAGCCTCAAGGCCACATGTGTCCTTCTAGGTCCTTAAGTTCGGCCCTTGGACTGAATCCAAACTTCAAGTTTTCAGCCTCAAGGCTGTAGGTTGCCCACCCTTGGATAGGCCATCCACCATGCCAGGAAGCTGTGCCTTCCACATTACTGCTGCCGAATTACTTCTGCTCTAAAATGGAATCTCATGAGAGAATTTTGTTCTCTTTTGTGTCATGCTATGCATACAGAAACGGCCATTTTATTTGGAGTTTGTTAAGTTCAGAATTAAGTTCAGAACGACGAAAAAAAGAAAAAAGTTAATATACGCTTCAAAATAAATTCATGAAGAAAGATGCTATCTGCATCAAGAAAAAGAACTGATAAAAAGAAATACGTACAGAATAATTTTACATATATACACCTATTTGTGTCTTGTGGTAGCCATCTCTAGGCCAGGGAGGCAGGGGAAAGAGAGAAGAGAAAAAGGGAAAAAAAAAGAAATTTACATGATAACTTTACTGTATATGTGGAGAGAATAGCAAGTTGAACGTGATAGTTTCGTGTGCAACCATATTTTTTATTGTACTGTACTATGGAAATGTTTGGTTTTGTTTCATGAATTGAAAATAAAATAATCTTTTAAAATAAATTTTAAAATAAATAAAAATATTTATGGTTTTATAGAGAGGTGTAGAATGGTTGTCATCAGAGAACATACGATTAAAAATAAAGATGGAGGGGCAGCTAGCTGGTACAGTGGATAGAGCACCGGCCCTGAAGTCAGGAGGACCTGAGTTCAAATCCAGCCTCAGACCAACCACTTGACACTTACTAGCTGTGTGACCCTGGGCAAGTCACTTAACACCAATTGCCTAAAAAAAATTAAAAAAAAAAATAAAGATGGGCCAGTCACACAAGGTAGAGGCATAATGAAAAGAGCACTGATCTTGGGTTCAAATCCACCCTCTACCGCTTATTGTCAGTGGGATCTTAAGATTGTTGATCTATACTGGAAGAGAACATAAGCTCCTTGAGGTCAGAGACTATTTTGGCTTGTCTTTGTATCCACATCCCTTAGCACAGTGCCTGGCACACATAGTAGCGCCTTAATAAAAGCTTTGTTGATTGATTGATTTTGACTTCTTAAAGGCTATATTAGGGGAATGTAGTTTCTGTCAGGTTATATTATACTAGAAATATTTTTGAGTATGGCTGTAGTAACAGGCCCAATCTGCCTTCCCAGGAGCAACCTAGCTAATTACAGAGAGGCATATCTCCAGTCGGCTGACCACCAGGTGATGATTTCTTTTTTCTCCAGAGCAACTTATGAAACAAAGAAAAAATTTAAGTAGTTCTCAGTCCTGTGAGACAACTTCTGGGTTTGTAGTGAAGGTAGCTAAGTAGTGAGAAAGGAAACAGAGTGCCAAGAAGTATATAGCTTTTAGGCTTTCAATAAACTTTCATTTGACTGTTGGTATTCTGAAACAGAGGTGTCAAACATGCCTGTGGGCTGCAAGATACAACCTACCAGATTAAGAAGCAATTGGAAAATAATTGACAAAATAAATAAAAATACAATAAAACCTGGATAACCTTAATTTGTGGTTTTCTGAGTCAATTTGTGGCCTGCAGGGATCCATATCTTAGATTTAGTGGCCCCGATTTCTATTTGAGTTTGAACTCACTGCTTTAAAAGTTTGACATTACATGCAAAATTTCCCAAAATCTCTTCTTTGTGGCCAACCTTTAAATGCCAAACAGAATAGCAATGGAGAATGTAGAAGTGTATTAAAATGTAAAAGTATATTAAAAACCTCTTTTTTTTTATTTTTCTAGGAATATGAAGAGATTATTTTTTCTCCATCCTAATATCTCTTCTAGTCTCTTACCTATAGGAAACTGAGTAGAACAAAAGCTAAGCCTTCCTTAGGAAAATAGATGAAGGATTATAATTTATATAGGGGTGTGCTGGAGAACAGATGGTTAAATTTTCTCTGTGAGCATTTGCATTTCAGAAATCAGTAAATGCTACAAATCAGGGCTTATTGTTTCGTTGATTATCTAGACTTAAGAAAATGATGGAGAAAATGTTAATGATGCAGATTACACTTAAAAGTGGGTCTTGGGTTTCCTATTCTTTATTCATTAAAAACAACCCTCCATGGAGAAAAGATTAAAAGGTTGATTGAAAGGAAGAGGGCCTTTTGTTTGCTCCAGGAATGAGATGTCAGAGTGCAGGCTGTCTTGGGGAGTGGAAGCAGAGAGAGGGGGAGAAAATTTAGAACTCAAAATCTTACAGAAGTGAATGTTAAAAACGAAAAACAGATAAATAAATTTAAAAAAAAAAAAAAAGGAAAGAAATGGGATGGTGCTCTGAGCTATTTTTGATCCCAGAATTGTATTTTTACACATTGTTATTTTCTTAGTTAAAAACTCCTAGAAATGTTTCCTGAAACTGTATTGGTGTAGTGTTGTGTCAGACAAATCGGACAGCCCTCTCTAAATAATAATTTTAAAAATATCTTGGATATTAATGTTAAATAAAATAGTTTCTGGCAGACTCGAACCCAAAATGCTGAGTATGGTACAGCATCAATATTTTTACTTCCACAGGAGCCACAAAAGTTTATTGAGTTGGGGGGTGACGAGGTCAGACCTGAGCTTCAGGAAGTCCCTTTGGCAGCTGTGTGGTAGATGGACTGGAGGGTGGAGATCCTTGAGGCAGGCTATTAGGAGACTGTGGCAATAGTCCTGTCCAGAGGTGTGGTGGCTGTGTGACTAGAGAGAAGGGGTTAGAGAAATAAAAAGAAGGGGTCAGATGCCAAAGATTGCAGTGGAAATGACAAGATCTAGGAACTCCTTAAATGATAGTAATAACAAATATTTATATCATGTTTTAAGATTTGTGAAGCATTTTACATTTTCTCATTTGATATGTGGGGTTACGATCTAGAATCTAGAAAGGTGTCAAGGTGGCAAACCTGGATGACCTGGAGAAAGGCAGTGCCCTCCACAGAAATAGAGAAGTTAAGATAGTGTAATGAGATCTGCAATACAGAAATACGATTCACAGCCCATCTATTCCTCTCTTTCCATGCAACTCATTCTGTTCTCATATAAAATGAAAAATGTTGGGGGGGTAAGAGCGTGGAACTCATTGTCACAGCCATTGCTCCAAAACACAGAACCCACTCTGCAAGAGGGCACGTTGGGTGCCACAGCCCAGAGGTGATCTGGGTGCAGGAAGTATGTATGCTAGGAGATGGAGTGAGGATTTTCCCAGTGGCAACTGCACAGCTGCTATTCCGGGTGCCAAGATCATGGATAAATTATAACTACCTTGAGGGGACAGCCCAGAAGGAGGGAGGTTAAGAGTTTGCACAGCAATATGAGAGGATAAAGTAGGTTTTGGGTGTTAATATGTGAAGGGTAGGTGTGGTTATGTTGGAGACAAGCCCCACAATTAGCTATTACATGAAGCATGGGATGTAATTCATCTTCCCACCCTTTCGTCTGTTACTCACACACTCCTCAGGCCATGCTTTGGCTCCTCATGGGGCTGGGACTCCCACTTTGGAGACTATTGATCTCGTCCCACTCCACACTTTATAGATGATAAAATAAGCCCAGAGATTTAAGTGACTTGCTTACAGTCAGATAAACAGTCAATTTTATAGGTGGGATTTGAACTCAGCTCTTCTAAACTCCAAATTCAGTGGTCTTTCCATGGCACCATCTTGCCTAGTGGTGCTTCTTCTTTTCCTCTGAATTCCCAACCTAGGTTTCTCTATCACTCTAAGTGCTGATTCCCATCCAGGTCTTATCTCCATCTAGTACAATATTGTACATTTAGTAAGGCTAAAAGAGCCTATAATAGAGGCTCGTTGGAGCATGGATGGATAATCCCTGCTGAGTTTTAGGCAACTGAGTTAACAGGAGCTCTGGGGCTGCTTCTAGTCGTGCAGTGACCTACTACTGAAAGGACTTGGCATTTTAATAAGCCATGATAGATCCTGAGTGATTCCTCAGTCATCTCTCAATCCCCTGACTGCTGTAGGGGGCAAGGGCAGCATCTATGGAAAGAAGAGACAGATTCTAACTGGCTCTTTGCTGTGGGTCTCCAGGTGGCAAGATGTTTTCTCAGCTCTGGTGTGGCCCCACTAGGGGAGTCTTGCCTAAGTCTCTGGACTGATACTCCCTGCCTCTTTTGTGTCTCATTTTCTTGAATAGGTAACCTTGGAAGGTCTGGAGGTACAATGCCTGGCACATAGTATGTGCCTAATCAATGCTAACTGACTGACTGGTAGTGGCAGCATCTTCCAGGGTGATTGTGGTTACAGGAGTATCAGGAGTTAGAATTATCTTCCTTGGAGATAGAGGTAAGGGGTAGGCTGAAGCTTGCTCCAACTGGCCCTGGGAGCCCATTGCTCAAAATTTCAATATGAACATTCACATTTCAGAAATTAGGGCTGATTTATTATTTTGTCGATTGTCTAGATTTAAGAACGTGATAGAGAAAATCTTAACATTACAGATTAAGGATAAAAATGTGTCTTTTATATGGGGTTGTTTGTTTTCTTTCTAGGGAAATCAGTTGTTAAGCACTTACGAGCACACCACCGGAGAGGGACCGAGACCACCATCGAGACTCTTGAGCTTCTTTTTGTGATGGCAAAGAAGTGTACGTTGAGGGGACACCCATCGATTGGGGAATGGCTGAACAAGTTGTGGTAAATGGTTGTGATGGAATACTGTTGTGCTAAAAGAAATGAAGAGCAGGATACTTTCAGAAAAACTTGGGAAGACTTATGTGAACTGATGCAAAGTGAAGTGAGCAGAACCAGGAGAACATTGACACAGTAACAGCAATGTTGTAATGATAATCAACCATGAAAGACGATGATCCAAGACAATCCCAAAGGACTCAGGGTGAAAAATGCTATCCACCTCCAGAGAGAGAACTGATGAACTCTGAGTGCAGATTGAGGCATACTTTTTTCACTTTAATTTTCATGTATGTGTGTATGTGAGGGGTCCTCAAAGGGTGAGGAGGGAAATAATTTGGAACTCAAAATTTTAAAAAATGAATGTTAAAATTTTTTAATATAATTAAGAAATATTTAATCAAATAAATTTTAAAAAATATTTTTAAAAGACTATTGAGCTTGGCTGCCTTAGCAGCCTTTCAAAACATTTCTGTCCTGAAGTTTATGTCCAGGACACTAGAAGATTGTAACAGTAGCCATCAATTAAGTTACTAAATCCAGGTGAAATAGTTAAGTAACATCCACTGTGATTCTATATTTAGCCTTTCTTTCTGGGTAGTCGTATACTACCTGATCTATACCCAATTAAAATTGCACACTGAATAATTCTCTTATTTCCCCTTTGAAGAATTCCTTCGACTTTCATAGCTGTGACCTTTACTATAATAAGTGATGTTTCCTGGGGAAGTAGAAGTTGGGGAGTTATCAAGCTGCTGAGTGTAAGAAAATGGAGCCTAAATCCCCCTAATTAGAGGTTTTATTCCCCTAGGTACAGGTCTGGCTTCTCTTGAACTGACCTCCATCCATAAACCACAATGGGCAGGTATCAAACAGAAAGTAGTGTAAGATGGCATTTTTGCAAGACCTATCCCCAGTGAGACTAGATGCCAAATAGCAGGAACTCGGTCAGTGTTTGCAAGTGACTGGCTGATCCAGTGTGAGCAATGGGAAGAGGTTCAGATTGGAGCTGTAAGGGACCTCAGAAGCCAACCCCCTCATTTTACAGATGGGGAAACTGAGGCCCAGAGAGGT